CGACCGCTCGCTAACTCCTGAAGTGTCGAGAATGTGAGGCAATTTTCTATACAGGTAGGAAACCATTTTTGACTGTATTAGACAATTTCGAACAAACAATTACTTTATCTTCAAAAATCTAAATAGTAAATATTGTTTTATTGCAACAATGGAAATGTTTACGAATATATGAGCTTAATATCAATCTTTACACAACGAAGACGTTATCATGAAGTTTTTCTATTCATAAAGATTGAATTAATAAATGTTTTCTTCAGAAGATTATACCCTCAATATGGGATAAAACATGATATGTCTGCGTAGGACTGGACTATTCTACAGAAAATAAGCCATAGAATTTTCAGATCTATCACGAAAAACGATGGATAATGGAGTGTTCCTCTCGAGAAAACGATAGGGTCGCACACTGTGTAGCACAAGAGTAATCATGTATCTATAGCGCTTTTCGATCAGCTTAACCGTTTGGTCGACATCATTTTCAAAAAGATATGACCTAATCTGATCCTCCCGTAGCTCCTAAATATCATTTTAGCTTGAGGTGTGCTAAACACTTTTCTATTGGGGCGCTTTTTGATGTTCCAAAATGTTGTAAGGGTTTGTCAGTTTTGCCTGAGGTAAAATGCTCTCTCTAGCTCTGGCGATACAAAGACAATTGGATCGTTCATTTGATCTTCAAAAGGATGTGGAAAAAACAAAATAAAGACTAATCCACTCCCTTGCCAACCGTGTAATTCGTACGCCCTTGGGGGTAAATGTTTGTGTCGAATTCAATATCGAAATACATATATAGAATTTCTCGATTACATGTCCATTAATTATCTGCTTCGTTTTGATGAATACGTTCATCATTTTGCCTCACGCAACAGAAATAGAGCCTATAAATCATTAGCCTAGTCATTAGTATGACTTTCAAAACAAAGTAAATCAAAAAGAAATATTCTGAACATTGCTCACTTTACCCTATTTTCCTTACTGTTATTGCTATTCTCCAGATACTAACAGAACAAATGCTGAGCTATTTTGAGCTGTCGAAGCAAATATTTGTGGAGCACACTGTGTAATTCATATTCTGCCGAATGTTCTAAAGCGAAATGTAAAGTTGGTTTATGGAGCGTTCTCTCGTTACGGCAAAATTATTCCAGAGCCCTTTTGTCTTCATAAATATTCAGGAAGATGGCGAGAGATAAAGCCGTATGGTGTGCCGTCGCATCTACAGCATCTTTCTCAAATTTGAATAAAGCGATGGCATCGCTTTCTTTAGTAATGCCTCGTACGTGCTTTAATATCATTTCAATAAGAGTTGTCTGTATCGTAGCATACATATCTTGTATTGGATCAACAAAAAATGAAAAAAAATATTGTAGAATTATTTTTAGGACGTCGTTCATGTTGACAAAAGAACAACATAATACATACTTACATATTTATGCTTGCTTTAAAATGATAATGAACTTGAGAAAGCTGCGAAAAGAATTGGGAAATTATATTTGGGTCGTGGCTCGTGTAGAACATTCAAAACTACAACATAATACATCAACTTAACAACTTAAGAAAGCTGCGGAAAGAATTGGTATCAACTTAGGTTAGATTAAAGATTTGAAATCATAATAGTAACTGCAAATGTTAATAAACTATTAAGCCAGTAATTTCTAAACATTCTCGAGCTATCTATGATCAAAACGTTTGAACTGGTTACCCTGTAGGACTTCGTTATCCAAACAAAGACCAAAATGCAAATTTCTAAAAATCTTTAATATACAAAAGCTTCGCAATATTGACTGTAATTAAAGTACTAAACGATTATAGATGATTAGTTTTAACTCCAACAATGTGGAATGTTAGGTGGTCATAAAATAATGGAAATGTTCACACTGAGAGTTGAACTTTCCATCAATACTATCTGACGGATGAAAATCTGCCTTTAGTTACAACTTTAAGCATTTGATCAAACTGAAAAGCACGAATATTTTGGCCCAAAATTGTCTGTAATACTTATAGAGGGCGATGTATAGAGAAAAATTAGTGATTATTGATTTTTGTTCGCAAATCTAATTTGTATGCGTAATACTGTTGACGTGCCAACAATAGAGGAATGTCAGTAATATGTGAAAATCTAAGCCCTTTTCTATATATCAATGTTCAGGAAGATGGCGTGGGATAGAGCCATATGCCTTACCGTTTTACCGTTGTGTCCACGGCATCTTCCTCAAATTTGTATAATAGCGTCACATCTTCAATAATTTCACTGTATGAAAAAAATTGACAGATTTTGACAATTCTTTTGAGTGGAATATTCCATATTTTAGTACTTTTCTTGATCGTACCTTCCAAAGTGCATGTGGAGTGACGTTTATATAAACAAAAGCAAAAAACAAACTAGCTGGTGGGATGAAAAGATCAACAGACAAGTAATGATAAAGGAAGTTAGATGGAAAAACTATTTGGGGAATAGAACTGACGAAACTCATGAGGAATATAAAAAAGCATGAATAAAGACAAAAGAAATGGTGATAGCAGCAAAAAACAGTCATGCTGGGAATTCGAAAATAAGATGGAGCAAGATAGTACAGGCAATCAATAACTCTTTTATTGGATATTAAAAACCCTAAGAAATACTCGCCAGCTTAGCCTGAAGCACATCAAAAACAAAAATAATGAGCTTATTACAGAGGGACAAAAAATTATCGAAATATGGAAACAACACTTCCAGGAACTAATGAACCTAGACAGGTCCAACAATGTCAACAATGGAAGTCTTATACACCTACAGGAAACTTTAGGAAGCAGAAAAGGAGTAAAGGACATATTAAGAAGGTCAAAGAAAGTGTTACATGCTGAAAAGGGTAAAATCGGCCCGGCATGATGGAGTTACAGCGGAGATGCTACAAAATATGAATACTGAATATATGGAAATGTTCTCAACATTACTGAATAAGGCATGGGAAGAAAAGCAGGTACCAGATGACTGGAAGAATAATTCCAATATTCAAGAAAGGTGACAGACTGCAGCAATTACAGGGGTATAACATGTAAAGTATATGAAAGAATACTAGACAGAAAGCTGAGAGAGTATATTGAGGGCAATCTCTATGAGGCATCTTAGAAAGGGTCACAGTATTCAGGACCACATATATTTACTATTAAACAACTCATTGAGAAAAGCAGGGTCAAGATCACCGAACTACACTTTGCGTTTTTAGATCTCGGAAAAGCATTCGATAGGGTCCCATGGAGCGTTCTTTGAGAAAGCCTGCGCAAAAGAAACATATATAGCCACCTAAAAGATTATATTCAAAGCGTGCTTGAATAAAATAATTGTTACGTCCGAAAGGATAACATGATAAACAAAATAACCGACGGATTGAAGGAGGCGCACTTAGCCCTACACTATTTATCATGGTCATGGACGATGTAATTAAAGCCTCAAAGAGTACAATAAGAAAAGTTCATATAGGGTTTTATAAAATGAGAACAGTAAGTATAGAGAGTGTGCGTTTGTGGACGATTTGTTATTATGTACCAACAACCCAAAATATTTAGAGGATAACGTTAACATCTGGAGTGAAGAGCTTACAAAGAGAAACATGAACATTAACATTACTAAAACAAGTCCTGACTACTAGAAAAGGTAAAGAACTTAAAATAATATCTGGAGGAAGGCATACAGATCAAGTACAGGCATTCGAATACTTGGGAATCCAAATACAGGAAGACGGAAATATGGATGAAGAAATAAACGAAAGATTACTAAAAGCATCGAACCTGTATCGTAAACAGCTCGTTGATATCGATAAAAGAAATAAGCAGGAAGGCTAAAATGACTGTATGTAAACCCATTTTCAGACCTATTCTGACTTTTGGAAGCGAAGGCTACTTAAGAGCAGTAAAAGGAGTTACAAGAGTGACAGAAGTAGGAACCTGATTACAAGAAGTGAGTTAGGGGTAAGACCTGTTTTGGACAAATTGAGGAAAACCAGTCGAAATGGTTTGGGCATCTAATCCGCATGGTCTAGATCAGTCAAAAGAATTTGGAAGGCTAAAGTTCTGAAGAAAGAACTAGATGAAGACCAAAAAAGACGTGGTACGACGGAATTGCCTCGGTACTGAAAAACAGAGGACTCAGCTGATCAAAAGCAGTTCAACAGGCCAGGGACAAAAAGACTTGGGCGAAATTGGTGCACAATGTTACAGAACAATGAAAAGACTGTGTGAGCAATTTGTTATACCTTACACCTATGAGAATATAAGTACAGAAAATGTACACGGTGGGCCATCCATGTGTGGACGGAATATTACTCATAAACAAATACATTTTGGGAAAATCTATTTATGGCATGTTATACATGACATTTGAGAGCACATTTCTAAAATAATGACAAATATACAGGGTGCCCCAATTTTGACCTATATATCAAAGTTGTGAGTTTTTAAATGGAACGCCTAAAATTTTATTGCATATTTGAATAAACCAATTCAAAAGAAGAAGATTGATATAACATACTATGAGGTTTTGGCAATTAGGTACTGAGATGTAAGGTGTTCTGTGCAGAAAAACCGTCCACTTCGGCAACCCCTCAATCCGGCATTTTGAAATTTGGAGTGCTGACTTTTGTATCAAACAAGCTTACACACCTCAGCTTTTATTTTACTTGTTACTTTTTCGAATTTTCATTTGTGCTCATACAGGGTGGTCAAATTCGCAAATTGTACTTTTTCTCAAGTTTGGATTCAATTTTTTATAAGCTTTTTTTTGGTATAAGGTTTGATTCAGATAAAATCACTAGATTTTGCGTTATTAAGCTTTTAATAGAACAACACACCAAAATTAAGGAAAAAATCACATCATCCATGGCAGGGTAGTCCAACTTAATGTGGCCCAAGGGCCACTTAAAAAAAGGGCAGTTTGGAGGGCCGCATTATAAAATCTTTCTATACAACATTATTACAGAGTTAATGTAAGAATTGTGCATATTCGGTATTTGAAAGTAATTTATACATGTCATGTATACATGACCCGTGAAGCGGGCCGCAAGAAAGGAGTTCGCGAGCCGCATGCGGCCGCGGGCCGTATGTTGGACAGCCCTGATCCATGGAAATAAAAGACAAACAGTGATCTAGTTCCATATTGCCACTAAGAGTACAGATTTGACGTAAAAACTAATAATAATCAGAACAGTATAAATCAGCTTCAAGCGTAATAGAGAAAAACAACTATAACAACAACATAAACAAACAACTATCACTACTCAAGACCTAATCTATAAAAACTGCTCGAAAATATCTCCACCATGTTGAATACACAGCCGTAGTCTTTGGATAAATGACCGTTGCACTTCCCTCAGCATGTGTTCCCTTATGTTCAGAAAATCATCCTTAATCCTTTCCTTCATATTTTCCGAGGTAGATGGCGGATATCTATAAACCTCTTGCTTAACGTAGCTCCATAGAAAGAAGTCCATCGGTGTCATATCTGGTGATCTAGGAGGCCAAGATATAGGCCCATCACGACCGATCCAACGATTGTTACTCCAGGTGTCCAAGTAGTTACGCACACGATTATGATAATGGCTCAGGTGTGCCATCATGTTGGAAGTACACATGCATCCGAGTTTGCAGGTTGACATCCTCTAAAAGCAAAGTCAAATGCTCGATCAAAAAATTCAAGTATTCTGTACCTGTTAATCTGTTGTCGAAAAACAAAGGAACGATAACTTGACTGCCAATAACTCCTCCCCAAACATTCACGCTCCATTTATTTTGGAAATCTATTTGCCTAACCCAGTAACGATTTTCCGTCGCATAATAGTGCATGTTATGGCTGTTGACATCACCTATGCTGTTAAAAGTTGCCTCATCGCTAAAAAGAACCTTATCCAAGAAGGTAGTGTCTAATTATTTTGTTGGAGACAGTTAATTAATAAATAGATATATTGATACATTTTACGCTATTAGGCATATGAATTTAAATTATCAAGGTGCAAAATTAATTTTTTTCATGAGTAAAAAGAAATATTCAGCATTTTCTTGCTCCGAAACGGTTGATTTTCGGACATAGGTTATAATGAACTTTTTTGCTTAGAATAATGCAAGAAATCACCTCATAAAGTTACGATTATTATTTCCCAACACCCTGTATGGTTGCTGTATCACGGGAGCAGTCATAAGTAAATGTCATTATTTACCTTACTATATAGCAGCATTAAGGGTTACGGGTGCATAAGTAATCAGGCGTGAATGACATATTTGAATAACTAATAATTAATTCTACTTGAGAAAACTAAAAAGAAGAGATGTGTGGATCTGTAGGGGTAAGTGGATTTTCGTGCCACGGTGCCGGCGTTAAATTAGACAAGCCCAATGACAGCATTTTTATGAATTAATTTAGGTCGTTAAGTGGACTTTTATAACCCGCATCGAACATCGATCCAAGGGAAATGATCGCTTAGTACGCCAGAGATACATACAAAATTGCATCTACGACTTACTACAGGATAATAAAAAAATTAGAGTATCATGGAAGAAAGCGTGAATATTATAGTTCAGTACGTATTTCGTCCAATACATCAGTAGAAACAATAAAAACACTCGGAATATCTATGGAGGGAGGCTAAGAATCGTACTGCAGTGAAAATAAATACAGTAGTTTATTGTTAGAAGTGGGTTGTAACGTCGAGCGATTCGTTATATATGTCTCGGAAGGATCTTTGAGGAGCATAAATTTAGTATGTCACATATCATCTGGTTATCGTACCTTAGACCACAGAAAGCAGACCTCGAAAACGGTTGATTTTCGCACATAAGTTATAATGAACTTTTTTGCTTAGAATAATGGTTGATTATTCTAAGCAATCTATCGAATCACCTCTTAGAGTTACGAATATTATTTCCCTAACACCTTGTATATCTTAAAAATTAAATCCACATCAAATCGTATCAGGCTGTATGCAACATTTTCATCCATAGTGAGTTGACCTCCTGAACTGAAATCCTATCGCTGTTATAAACACAATGATGTTTTTGTAGGTGAGCCAAAATACGATCGGCGTACAGACCTGTTTCAACCCAATCCGATCGGCAATAGGCCCTCGATGACCACAAATGTGTTTTCGAATAACCAGGCTGACAGTCGTATTCAGTGCCTCCGGGCGCTATTTGTTTTCCTCACTCGTATCAGACAGGTCCTTCTCCGCAGTAACATGGTAATGGGCTTCAATTAAGGTCCCTCAAATTCCCTGGAGAAACGCTTCGGCTCGATGTTGAACAAATCTTGATTCCAGGATTGGACGGCGTACAGTGGGAAGTGAGTGGAATTAATTGAAATTGTAAAAAATTTTCAAGACGCATACCACCTTGAAAAAGGGACTGGAAAAAACTTATGTCTTTTTAGAGTATATCGACAAAGATTTGTTTCGGAAACCAATTTTTGGAATTTTGTCAATGTAATGTGAGCAAATTCAGAATCATTCATTATTAATATCGACATCTATTGTGAGGTGTATATGACTATAGAATGCGAAGACGTTGGGTGTATGAGTTCTGATGTTTTCAAAAGAACTAAACATGTATTTTGTAATTTGAAGAAAATAGGTTGTAAATAAAATAAAAGATTCAGTCGCAGGATACAAGTCTTCAGCTTTCAATAATTCTACCTCATTTGCAGAAAAATCTTTCACAAGCATAATCTTAGACTCATTTGCCAAATTATTAAGTTTGTGATAGCCTGTCTCGTTGCTGCATTATTGGATTATATCGAATGATGTTCTTGGATTTAGTATTGTAATATTCTAATGTTTGCATCCTTTGACGAAGTAATATTTATTTTTCTGAAGCATTCTGAAAATAATTTATATATTATATATTATAATAATTTATAATTCTTGAAATTCGAAGCACCTTTGAAGTGTTGAAGTGTCGATTTGTTAAGCACATATGATACAGAATAGCAGAACATGCACAAAACATGAAACTAGGAGTGTATCTAGCACTTCAATATTATTCATGAAGATTTCAGTAAACTAAATAGCATCAAATTAAAACTAAATTCAAGGTCTTATTAATTAATTCCACACCGTCAAACAAAATTTCCCTCAGTGTGTCGCGGCTCAGCTCGGTTGTTTCCCTGTGGGGCATAAAGCCCTGCAAACAATCTGTTTTCAACTCCCATATAATTGCTTCCAGGCCAGACGGAAAACCACCAAAATAAAGAGTTTACTGAAATTCTGAGAGGGATGCTGAAAATCGGGATGTTTGCAGTATATTAATGCAGAATACGATGCAACTTACCCAAAGTTTCAATCTTTGTTGCAACCTTGTTGATTTCCGGTTTTTAGTTTATTTATGGTATCCGGGTCACGTTCAGCTGCAGTTAGCAGCTAAGAGTTAGTACTACCTGTAGTATGGCTTAGTTCAGTTACTGTATATTGTTGGCTATTGACTCGATCTTCTAACAAGTAGCGCACATTTTTATTTGCGAACAGGTATAAAGTAAGTAGAAAATTTTTCTTCTAGACTTTAAGTGTACACAAAAATAAATATGTTACATTTACCATCTGGGACAGTAGTAGCTACTGCTAAAGGTACTCTGAAGTATAAGTAGAACTTAACACCCAGCAAACCCATTCATAAACAACAATTTACTGCACGGTCATAGATGAGCAATTTCACGACTTGAGGGACTTGCTCTCTATTACGCGTGATACTTCTTACAGCCATCCAGAATTTTACGTTCCTCTCAAGATTACATCAAAATGGGTATTTTTTCTAGTTTTATGACTGGAGTATTGGACCGAAAAGCTCTTTACACAATCCTATCTCATTTTTATGGACATACACTTTCTGTTATATTGCTTTATCAGACGAGTATTGTTTAAAACAACAAACAAATAAAGATCCGTGTCTCGCCAAACAAAACCGACAAATGGAACATGTGAAAAATCATTACATATGTATTGGTTTATGTTTGTTGCTGTATTTTGGTGTAATTAGAGTATATCTTAATGTTGATTTCTTTCTTTTCCATCACTAAAATCTCTTTTACAAGCTTCTTTTGACGCGCTTCAAAAAGTACGTTTTGTTGTTTGCAGTCGGAAACGAAAAGTTCATATTTGCGGTTGACCGCTCGACGTTAAAAGCTTTGTCGCTCTATTCGTAAAGCACTCCTTGACTGTATAGTGATCAGATTGTATACAGCCGTCTTTTTAGAAACCGATAAAAATATGACATATACATATGTAATTCATGTAGTATTTTGATTATGGGTATATACGGTGCTTTTCACAAATGTTACTTATTTCTTGATAGGGTTGAGCTAGCAAGCGGAAATTGGCGGGAGATGCATGGGTACCATACTTGATAGTCAAAATTTCAAGATTGCGGCTGGATGCCATCTTGGATTTTTTTTAATCGAATTGGCAGTCATATAATACCTCATTTTAAATCCCCTTGTCTTTCTACTCAACCCAAAATCATCCCAAATTTGTTTGCAGCCCTGTGACTTTAAGTCGTTTTTTTTGCATACCGTAGGTTTTTCTACAAGATGTTAATTTAGCCTAGCTGCTGGACACCACATGTGAACTCGTTTTGTAGTTGTACGTGTCGCTTAAGCGTCATGATGCTTCAGTTATCAGTGTTTGGCTCTGATGTGATGTAACATCTGATTCAGAGATGGCATTATCTTTTATTTCCAGTAACATTTAAATTCTTAAGAAATTTATTTTGCGATGTCAATAGAAAATACAAATCAGCGCCTAGATGTGAGCCACTGCGAAAATGTTTTAAATGTGATGCGTCATTCCTAATTTGTGGCTTAATTGCATACAAGGCAGGCGCGGTGGCGATTCCCCCTAATGCTTTGAAAAAAAAAGGGAAAATCGTAATTTATAACTTTGTACATAATCTGTATTCAGAAAGGACAACATATAAATAACCCGTCCGGCACAGCTAATAGATATACTTCATTGTCAGCATATTCAGTAATAATTTTCTCACATAGCAAATATCACTGATTTTATACACATGCAGACCAATATACATAATCATACAGATGTGATCTTGCTACTCAACCAACTTTCTTTCATATATCAGAGATGCGTGTAGTTGAGATATTCCTCCATAGATGGACGCTCACAGCGAGCAAAAGTGGAATGACCTATTTGCACCCTAAAATATACCTAGTCTGCAAAATGACATTTTGTTGTTTATTTACGTTTTATCTGTTTTTTTACATAATAGCCATGCCGGTTACTTCAATGCCAATAATGATTTCTGGTAGGGTTCCAGCAATCGCCATCCGATAAGGACTGACCCAGTTGGCAACGACACTTACTTTCTTCCCTAGCGTTTCATTACGTGCGAGTAGTGTGCTGGGTCTTTTTCCGACCACGTTTCCTGTCTCTTATAATACTGCTGTCCTGACTTCCTTGGGTAACTCGAACCACGGTGTTGTGGAGGTCAGGTTATAATCAGAATCCGCCGTGGCAAGAGAACAAAATTTGGCATTATGGAGATGCTGATCGGGAAAGCTCAGAGACTTTTTCTTCAGCTTTTCTTGGAGAGATGTTTGTTTTGCTGACTTGGATGCATCTGCTGTCTGTTCATCCAAAATTGGGGTAGAGGAGTATATCCCTCACACAGTGAAAGTGCCAAAACCAGGGTCTAACGGTTGGTTAAACAAATCGTGCGGTACTGCTCGTCGACAGGAAATCAAAGCACACTGAACCTTCTTAGAGAACCCCACTGTAGAGAACAGACAAGCCGATGCTGGCTATATGAACAAAAATAACGTAGTTCTTCGCAATGCCAAAGACCAGGACGATGCAAAAGTTAGTCACAGCGCAATGGCAGTCGGTCCTTATGGACGTTGGCCAAGCTGATCGAAGGGAAATTCTCAAAGAAGGGCCTTCCACCTCTTACGTAGCAAGATGGGAACGAGTGTAATCGGCTCAAAGCCTGAGGCTGAGGTACTTGCCAAGATCTTTGCTGCCACCTCCACCATGGGTACCCTCCCCCAACAGCCATCTGCCGCCGATTCCAAGAGTTCCTTGCACTATGCGGGAAGTAACTTTTAGGCATTAGACTGTAATATGGGTACTCTTGTCGTTCGACATCAATAAAGCTTCTCTGGCAGTGACGCGATTCCTGCTATTGTACTCAAGAGATGTACAGCGGAGCTTGCTCCAGTTTTTTCGTATTTCTTCTCACACATCTTACGGATCTGGACTTTACCAGAGACTCGTAAATTTGCTCATCTCTATTCGGTCCCAAAACAAGGATCTACAATCGACCCTTACAACTACAAACCTATAGCTCTGCTTTCTGTTATCTTCAGAGTTATGAAGAAGGGCATACATAGGGAGATTCTAGAGTATCTCTAACAACACGGCTAGCCTACTTCACACAACTGTGGAGTAAACTCATCCAACCATATGGTGAGGCTCTTGTTGTTGATTTTGACATTACGAAAGCTTTCGATCAGCTGTAGCCTGCTGCCCTCTTATGCAAGCTTCCATCCATAACTGTTATTTTTACGTTCCATGCCTCAATTTCATGATCAGCTTACCAACTTGATGCGTTCAAAAAAATAATTGGGGTGCGACCTGCGGAGGTGCTAAATAAACACTTACTTTTTGTGTGAGTCAAGTTACTAGCTGAATTGATGCATAAATACTATATTCTGACGTGAAGGTGACAGTTGAAAATATGGTGGCATGTGTTGGTCCATTTTAAAACTTCCTATCAGAACGTTATAGTCTCAGAGTCTACATTATCTTTTTGGAAAGCGATGCATCAGTTAGTTCTCATTGTATCTTGATGAGCGTGTTTGCGCATATAATTTCTGACACTTTGTTGATCTAGAGCGACAAAGTTGTGATTTTCAATCGGTCCTCAGCAAATGTCAACTTTGCCTGACTGGTAATAAAACGCACCTTTTCGGGCGGCTATAGATCAAATATTGTCGACACCTATTTCCACTTTTTACGATCATTGGGCAAAAAAAAGACGTAAACAAAATATTCCAATTCTTGGATGTTTGTGGACATGACTCCAAATAACCTATACTCATTTCCGTCGTTCTCTGTGTCGGTCTGACGTCTGTTCAGTAAATCTTCGCCCTTCTATGACTCGGAACTACTGCTCGT